ATGGTTGACAGTATCAGAACTTGGTGTCTTTCATCCTAATAGTAGAACAACATACAGACTACCATTCCATGATTGACAGTATCAGAACTTGGTGTCTTTCATCCTAATAGTAGAACAACATACAGACTACCATTCCATGATTGACAGTATCAGAACTTGGTGTCTTTCATCCTAATAGTAGAACAACCTACAGACTACCATTCTATGATTGACAGTATCAGAACTTGGTGTCTTTCATCCTAATAGTAGAACAACATACAGACTACCATTCTATGGTTGACAGTATCAGAACTTGGTGTCTTTCATCCTAATAGTAGAACAACATACAGACTACCATTCTATGGTTGACAGTATCAGAACTTGGTGTCTTTCATCCTAATAGTAGAACAACATACGGACTACCATTCTATGGTTGACAGTATCAGAACTTGGTGTCTTTCATCCTAATCATTCTATAAGCTATATTAAAATCTTGAGTTTATCCACAATATTTCTTGTATATTTTACACGTGTAAACAGCTTTACCTAACCTACTATAAACTACCTTTCATATTTTACATGTGTAAACAACTTTACCTAACCTACTATAAACTACCTTTCATATTTTACACGTGTAAACAGCTTTACCTAACCTACTATAAACTACCTTTCATATTTTACACATGTAAACAGCTTTACCTAACCTACTATAAACTACCTTTCATATTTTACACGTGTAAACAGCTTTACCTCACCTACTATAAACTACTTCTTACCTTCCAGGAAGTACAAAGCATCAACTACTTCAATACACGAGTCTGCAATGAAGAATATATTATAGTTTCGTTAATATCTAAGGTTGTAATATATATATACATGTCTTTTTGGTTAAGATTTTTATAGCTTTTTCATTAATCATTTTAATATATAACAACATAATGATGTTTTGTGTGATGTTGATAAAGACTTCACTTTAAAGTACCAGATTGGAATCTACATTAAATTAATGTATAATAAAGAATAAAGCTTGAATAACTGGTAATAGAAATTGGTTTTTAAACTCTAGTTATCTGTACCTGTTAATTTCCACTGGACTTGTTAGATTTGCTTATATTTCCAACTCTGAAAAGCATAGAATTAAAAACCACAATCTTTGTCACTATTCTTCCCAGGCTGCATGTGTATTCTGTTTGTACAACAAGTGACAATTATAGAATTTATCAAGAAATTAAAAATAATACAATGTCACTCTTTCCTTTCACTAAAGATAAGAGACAATAGTCTCTTAATAACAAAAATAACTCTTAATGAAACATTTACCTATGTCTTTCTTCTGTAGTGTCTTCTTTTTTGCTTGAGAAGTAAATGAAAATGCTTCCTTGGCTAAAGAATCAACAAAGAGTTCCTGTAAAAAACTAAACATTCAGTTACAAACTTAGAGAAACAATAACCTAATAAAGAGTCTAAAGAGTTCCTGTAAAAAAATAAACATTCAGTTACAAACTTAGAGAAACAATAACCTAATAAAAAGTCCAAAAAGTTCCTGTAAAAAAATAAACATTCAGTTACAAACTTAGAGATACAATAACCTAATAAAGAGTCTAAAGAGTTCCTGTAAAACAATAAACATTCAGTTACAAACTTAGGGAAACAATAACCTAATAAAGAGTTCCTGTAAAACAATAAACATTCAGTTACAAACTTAGGGAAACAATAACCTAATAAAGAGTCTAAAGAGTTCCTGTAAAACAATAAACATTCAGTTACAAAGTTATTAAAACAACAAGTTAATACTAGAGGGGCACTCAGTAGGCTCTCAAAAAATATGAAATTGTATCCATGCGTCCATTGTTATCGATGGATACAGACCATTTTTGGCAAGACGATGAGGAATAATATTCTAAACATCTGAAGAAGTTCTTTACATTTTTTAAGTAGCTCCTCTGATTTATTATTTCCAAACATCACATGCACTACAAGAATAGAATGTTTTTCGATACCAGCAACTAAACTGTTACCACAATCTATAATGTTCTATATATTAGCACCTGACCAACAAATTCTAGTCAACTGTTACCACAATCTATAATGTTCTATATATTAGCACCTGACCAACAAATTCTAGTCAACTGTTACCACAATCTATAATGTTCTATATATTAGCACCTGACCAACAAATTCTAGTCAACTGTTACAACAATCTATAATGTTCTATATATTAGCACCTGACCAACAAATTCTAGTCGTAGTCTTTTAATCCCTCCCACTACAAAAAATGTCAACCTTATAGTTAGTAGGAGAATCCTCCATTGTAAGAAACCTATTGATCATCTCTAGTTAACAAGAGAGTCCTCCATTGTGAGAAACCTACTGATCACCTCGAGTTAACGAGAGAGTCCTCCATTGTGAGAAACCTACTGATCATCTCTAGTTAATGAGAGAGTCCTCCATTGTGAGAAACCTATTGATCACCTCTAGTTAGCGAGAGAGTCCTCCATTGTAAGAAACCTATTGATCATCTCTAGTCAATGAGAGAGTCCTCCATTGTAAGAAACCTATTGATCATCTCTAGTCAATGAGAGTCCTCCATTGTGAGAAACCTGTTGATCATCTCTAGTTAACGAGAGTCCTCCATTGTGAGAAACCTATTGATCATCTCTAGTTAACGAGAGTCCTCCATTGTGAGAAACCTATTGATCATCTCTAGTCAATGAGAGAGTCCTCCATTGTAAGAAACCTATTGATCATCTCTAGTTAACGAGAGAGTCCTCCATTGTGAGAAAGCTACTGGTCACCTCTAGTTAACGAGAGAATCCTCCATTGTGAGAAACCTATTGATCACCTCTAGTTAGTGAGAGAGTCCTCCATTGTGAGAAACCTATTTATCATCTTGTTCCTCACTGCAAATGGCCAAAGTTTAAACTCTATTCAAGACTGGTATGTTAATACAAAACAAACTAACATAAATGAAAATGGTAATAAGCTGACCAATAAATAATTAAATAACAAAATATAAAAACAGCATATAGAAGGACTAGTTAATCATAATATTAGTATTATTAGATACTGATTTAACAAATGAGGTTATTCTCTACTACATAATTGAAGAAAACTAGTAACTCATCATACTCTGAACTCACAAATCAATTATTATTATTTCCTTATTATAACAAAATCAGAAAATGATTCTTTAAAAAGTAATTTGTAGTCATGTAATAGTTACAGTTAAAAGATGAAATTGCTGGAAGATAACAAATCACTTGAAGTGATAGTAAACTAGTTCGCTCATTATTAACAGATTTAAGGGATAGTGATTATTATTTACTCTCCAGTAAGTTAGTTATACCTTATCATTTATTTAAAGTTACTTTCATTAACAGTACTGGTTATTATATTAATTAGAACTCATTTTATTATTATTATAAAGATTATTTCACATTATTAGCTAGGCCTAAATCTACAAAGGTGGATGAGTCAAATATAACTTTTATCACAGTGTGGTAGTTCATACTTGGAAATCAGTCTTAACAAGAGAAACTTGTTATTATTACTTCTAATTTATATTTTGTTGTTTTATTATAACTGTTAGTGTTAGCTTAGTTTCTGGATTTAGGTGCAAGGGTATCCAACTGATGAAGTAATGCATTTTAACCATTCTCAGTATTATAATTTCTAATTATAACATATATATATACACATGTGTGCGTGTGTGTGTGTGTAATTATAATAAGTTATATGGTGTAGTTTGAGCATTATATTTAAATTGTAATTATCTATGTCATTACTACTACTACTAGATATATATGTGTAGTTCTGATCTGTGTAGTACTAGTAGTAGCTTGCTTTGAGTTTGATCAAAGTTAATATTAATTAAAAGATGGTCACCTGTTGAATGTCCTACTGTACATTGTTTATCTTACTTAATAACTTATTGCTAGCCCTAAGTAACTATAATATACTTATAATATAGTCATCCTACATACTAATAGTCATAGTGGGTGTAGGTAAAAGTTTTTAAAATATGTTCAGACAAAGTAAATGCCTTTTTATAGTAATTACGGTAAAAGGTATATTTCCCCATACCAATTATTTTTTGGTTCCTATGTCCTGTTTATGCCTCCGTTGTATAGTCCATATGGTCAGCCTGAGTGAACCATAACAATATATATACTATAATATAGATCGTATGTAGCACTTCTCAATCACAACAACATCCGGGGGCCCAAGCTCAACCCAAGGAACAGTCGTCACCCTAAATTGGCTGAAAATTCTTGCACCACAACACACTTACAAGTTACACAGAGACTAGGAGAGTCCGTAAGTACAAAAAATACAAGAAAAAGGCAGTTCGTTTGTCTGAACATAGTTTAAAAGCTACCTTCGACTTTCACCAATATAATATTTTAATATTAGTATTTGTAACAATAACAGTAATACTATTACTAACTAAGCCCAATATACTTGTTTAGTTATTATTTACCGTTGCTCTGGCAATAAGAAAAACGGCTTCCTGGCTAGCTAATGTAACGTCTGGATCAAGTTTCATTAAATGCTTAACTCTTGTAAGTGGTATCCGAACTAATTTTTCCGTTTTGGTGTTGATAGTTGATTTTTCTTCTGCCTTTTCTATATTTTCATCTGCATCAACATTAACAGTTTCTATTTCAAGTGAAAAATCGTCAGCTTCTTGATCCATTACGTCAATTTCATTTGCCGCCATTTTATTGTGTCGCCCTCTTTCCTTCATGTATCATATATATTCAAAAACCTTTCAAACACTCATAAGATGATAAAAAATTATATGTTTCACCCTGTTTAAGAAGTTATTAGCTGTATCATAATTAATTCACCATTTTTATACTTCTATAAAAGTCTACGTGTTTGATTTTGTCTATCAGTAAAGCGAACATATTGAAATAATTACCAACATTTACCTAAGACATCCATAAATAACAATATTTTAGAACAATTAATCACTTTTCCATCATTATTTTCCTTCAAGCTGAGGCATACGTCCTACGTCCGTGGGTATAAGGATTGAATGCAGGGCTTGAAATAATAAATTAAATCAAGAACTTATATTTATATGCATAAAAGATTTCACACCTAAGTTACCTTACAACTACTATATTTCACACATACTATATTCCACATAACAGAAATGGTATTACAATTACTTTACTTCACTACTTTTACTGATCCCTTCTTACAGTCGGGGCGTGGCATGGCCAGGTAGTTAGGGCGCTCGACTCGCAATCTGCGGGTTCGAATCCCCGTCACACCAAACATGCTCGTCCTTTCAGCCGTGGGGGCGTTATAAT